TTTATGAGAAATGACATTTTTATTATATTTTTCCCAACCAGTAATATGTCTGATATTTTAGGCCTTATTTATGTCTTTTTTAAAAATTTGGATTTCATTCAGAATCATACTTTTTTATTTTACTTATAGAGTTTATATATATATGTATATATGTAGCTTGAATTTTAATGATATATTTTCATTTCCATTTGTAACTATTAAACCCAAGTATAAGAAATAAAAACTTCATCAAAATCAATATCAAATCGTCTTAATATTTTGTAAAATATTTTATTTGTCCTTTATTATTTTCTAAAAAATTAATTTTGTCCTTTCTGAATATTTACATTAATTTTTGTTCCTTAAAAATTGACTAGGATATTTGAAACAAAGCTTTATAATTATGGTGATCCTCCTTTATTTGTCTTAGTGGTAAATAATTCCATTGGCTTCATGTGGTAGTAAATTAGAATACAATAGATGATACACAAGTTATTTCTTTTTGAATTTTTCCAAATTTCAATAACTTTTCTGGTACAAGTGGGTTTTGGTTACATAGGTGAATTATATAGTGGTGAAATATGAGATTTTAGTGCACCTGTTGCTTGAGTAGTTGAATGTTGTGTCAAATATGTAGTGTTTTATCACAAAGTCCCCTACTAACCTCTCCCTTCTGAATCTACAAAGTCCATTATACCACTCTGTATGCCTTTGCATACCCATAGCTTAGTTTCCACTTGCAAATGAGAACATACAATCTTTTTGGTTTTCCATTGTTGAATTACTTCATTTAGAATAGTAGCCTCCAGCTCTATTCAAGTTGCTACAAAGTACATTATTTATTTTTATGGCTGAATAGTATTCCCTGATATACACACATATATATGCACATACATATACATATATGCATATTATATATACATGCATGCATATAGGTGTATATTTGCATATATACATATACACATATGTATACATACATGTGTGTTTATACATATATGCACATACATATACATACATGCACATGCATATACATATACATATATGTATATGTATGTGTATATGTTTATGTATGTATATGTATATCATGGAATACTATTTTTATATATCATATATATGTATCAAATTCTTTATCCATTCATTGACTAATGGGCACTCAAGTTGGTTCCATATCTTTGCAACTGTGAGTTGGACCGCAAAAAAATATGTGTCCATGTGTCTTTTGCATATAATGACTTATTTCCCTTTGGGTAGATATTTAATAGTAGGATTGCTGGATTAAATGGAAGCATTTACTTTTAGTTCTTTAAAGAATCTTCATATTGTTTTCCACAGAGGTTGTACTAATTTCTATTCCCAGCCATAGCATGTAAGTGTTTCCCTTTTCACCACATCCACACTAACATCTATTGTTTTTTGACTTTTTAGTAATGACGGTTCTTGCAGCAGTAAGGTGGTATTTCACTGTGGTTTTAATTTGCATTTCCTTGATAATTAATGACGTTGAACACTATTTTCATATATTTGTTGGGCTTTTGTATATCTAAGGAAGGCATTTCTGTTCAAGTGATGGCAAGTGAGTATTTCCCGAAAAGTCAACTGAGATGTTTACCAGTCCAGGTAGAGAGGTTACTTCTTGTCAGGAGATTACATATGAAACCTGGGCAAGTCAATCATCCTCTCAGCCATGTGGAATAGTCATCCATTATGTCTACCTGTCAAATCAGTATTAGATAGCCAGTCCAAAGATGAATTCCAGGGATCTGTTAAGGACAGTCACTTATCTATAGCGCTAAGATGCTCTCATGTCAGCTATTAAGACTTCTTAACTTGAATAGAAAATGATGGTCAGTTCTCCAAGCTCTGTCTGGGACAAACCTTTCTTATGCTTCTGAGAAACTGGTTTTAAGGTTACATTATTTCATTTGTGGAGATGACACAGTGGGCAACTGAAAGAAACACAGAATAATGAACCCAGGCTTAGTCCAATGTATTCCCCAAATACCCTTGTTGACTTTATCTTTTTAAAAATTTAAACATGAAGTAAAACAAAAGTGAAAAACAGACTCATTGTATTTGCAGAAAACACAAATTAGAAATTAAAACTTTTGGAGAAAACTTGTTAAAAATATCAAGCTTAAGTTTAAACATAAACATATTCTAAGACATCTAATAATGGAAATGTTTATTTTAAAAACATACATTTTAAAAATACACAGCTATGGTTTTTTAACCATTTTGGTATGTATTTCAAAATTACAGGGGTGTGTTGTGTGTGTGTGTATGCACACACATGCAATTGTGTATATGTTTGCAATCATATAACTAATGTGTTTATTAAAAAATCTCCATTTTAAAGGAATCGCATCAAAATATATTCCAATACTTCAGAAATTTTTAATTTTAGGGAAAATTGAGTATCAACCAAAAAAGATAGTTATAGGCATACCTCAGACATGTTGCTCCACATGGTTCCAGACCAGCACAATAAAGCAAATATTCAAATAAAGCAAATATTCAAATATGCAATACAGACGTTCACCTAATTTCTTTCTTTTTTTTTTTTGGTTTCTAAATACATATCAAAGTTATGTTTATGCTACTCAGTCTGCTAAGTGTTTAAAAACATTCAGTTTGCATACAACATTATGAATTAAGTTCACCATCTTATATGGGTATAGTTCATAGTGCCCCAACACAACTACAAATGAACAGTGAAAATACCTTAATTTAAAAATATGGTATTGCTAAAAAAATGCTAATGGTTATCTGAGTCTTCAGCCAAATCATAACCTGTTTGCTAGTAGACAGCAGTGCCTCAAAATTGATGGTTGCCTCCTAATCAGTGTGGGTGTTTCTGAAGGTGGGGTTTGCTGGGACAATTTCTCAAAATAAGACAGCAATGAAATACACTGCATCAATTGATTCTTCCTTTCATTAAAGATTTTTCTTTAGCAAGCAATGCTGTTTGATAGCTTTTTACCTACAGTATAACTTCTTTCACTATTGCAGTCTATCCTCTCAAATTCTGCTGCTGCTTTATCAACTATATTTACATATTAATAATACAAATACTTTGTTTTCATTTCAACAATGTTCACAAAATCCTCACTAGGGGTAGATTCCATCTCAAGAAACCACTGTTTTCCTCATTTACAAGAAGCAACTGCTCATTTGTTCAAGGTTTATCATTAGTTCGCAGCACTCCAGTTTCTTCTTTCGGTTCCACTTCTAATTCTGGCTCTCTTGGTCTGCAGTTACACCCTCCAATGATGTAGTGAACACCCTCAAAATAATCCATGACAATTGGCATCAACTTCTTTCAAACTTCAGTTAATATTGATATTTTGACATCCTTCCGTGAATCATAAATGTTCCTAATGACATCTAGAATGGTGAATCTTTTCCAGAAGGTTTCAATTTACTTTGCACAAGTCCATCAGAGGAATCATTGCCTATGACAGCTATGGCTTTATGAAATGTATTTCTAAAATAATAAAAGTTGAAAGTAAAATTACTCCTTCATCCATGGACTGAAGAATGGATGCCTTGTTAACAGTTATAAACACATTAATCACCTTACACTGTTTCATAAGAATTCTTGGGTGACCTGGTGCTTTGACAATGAGCAGTAATGTTTTGAAAGGTATCTTTTCTTCTGAGAAGTAGTTCTCAACAGCAGGTTTAAAATATTCAGTAAACCATGCTGTAAACAGATATACTGTCATCAAGGCTTTGTTTTGTCTCATTTCTACAGCACAGGCAGAGTGGATTCCTAAGGGCTCTAGGATTTTCATAATGATAAATGAGAATTGGCTTCCACTTAAAGTCACCAAGTACACTAGCTCCTAACAAGAGAGTCAGCCTGTTTTTTGAAGCTTTGAAGTCAGGCACTGGCTTCTCCTTTCCAGTTACAAAAGTTATGGAAGGTAGGTTTTTCCAGTATAAGGCTGTTGTTTCTACATTGCAAATCTGTTGTTTATTGTAGCCACCATCATAAATTACCTCAATTAGGTCTTCTGCATAATTTGCTGAAGCTTCTGCATTAAGACTTGCTGCTTCTCCTTGCACGTTTATGTTATGGATACAGCTTCTCCCCTTAAACCTCATGAAACAACTTTTGCTAGCTTCCAGTGTTCCTTCTACAGCTTAGTCACCTCTTTCAACCTTCATGGAATTTAAGAGCATTAGGACTTTGCTTTGTGTTAGGCTTTGGCTTAAGAGAATGTTGTGGCTTGTTTGATCTTTTATCTAGAACACTCAAAATTTCTGCATATCATCAATAAGACTGCTTCATTCTCTTACCATTCCTTTGTTCACTGGAATAGCAACTTTAATTTCCTTCAAGATCTTTTCCTTTGCATTCACAGCTTGGCTAACATTTTTGGAGATGAGGCCTCACTTTAAGAGTACCTTGGCTTTTAATATACCTTCCTCACAACACTTAATCATTTCTAGCTTTTTATTTACATTGAGAGACTTACCCTTTTACTGGAAAACACTGAGGCCATTGTAGGACTAATTGGCATGACTGAAATATTGTCATGTCTTAGGGAATAGGGCAGCCCAGAAAGAGGGAGAGTGATGTGAAACTGGTTGATTGGTGGAGTGTTCAGTATGCATACAACATTATGAATTAAGTTCACCATCTTATATGGGCATGGTTCATAGTGCCTCAACACAACTACAAACGACAACAACATCTATGATCAGTCACAGACCACCATAACAAATATAAAACTAATGAAAAAATTGGAAATGTTGTCAGAATTGCCAAAATGTGACAGAGGGACACAAAGCGAGCACATGCTATTGAAAAAAAAAAAAATAGTTCATATGGTCTTGCTCCATGCAGGGTTGCCACAAAATTTTAATTTCTTTTTTTAAAAAAATGTAGTGATTTCATAGTACTATAAAGCAAAGCACAATACAACAACATATGATCATATATCAGTAAAGATGGATTATATCTGTCTGGGGTAATTATTAACTCCAAATCTTAGGGTTTTAAAACAGTAAAGAGTGCTTACTTTGGTGGTATATACAAAAATGTGAATGTACAGAGAATATTAGCATGGCCCTTGAAGAAGGATGACACATATTTGTGAAACATTCCATATATTTTTGAAATATCACACTGTACCACAAAATAGGTACAATTATTATGTGTCAATTAAAAGTAATAATAAAAGCAAAAAGAAAAAGATTAATTTTTTCATCATTTACAAAAAAAATATTTATTTCTAAATTTTCTGGCTCTCACTGCTGCACAGTTCAACTAATTATATGTTTTATGATGCCCTTTTTCTGATAATCAGACTCTTGAAAGAACTCCTTCTAGAAACACGATCAGTAATCATAGAGGGAGGGAAGGAAGACCATGACCACCAGTGCACTGACACTTGAAGGTCCTACCGGAAGTAACTGATGGAGCTTCCAATTGCATTTTACTAGAAAAAATTAACAAGTTAGCTAAACCTTACGTCTAGTGAGTTAGGAGGTACAATCTTACCTCATGCCTAGAAATAAAGAAAAATACAATTTTTGCACTTAATAATTCTTACCATTATCCACCCTTCAGCTCATCAAACACCATTTGGTTCATCCTCTTTTCCTCATTCAAAATACACTCATCTCCAAAGAGGAAGAAGAAAAACAAAAAGAAAAAGTTTCTTATAGTGAGAGCATTAAGCTCAATGTCATGGACTTTTGTGTAATATGTAGCAGTTTTGATTTAAGAAAATCTCTTCATTAAACTCAGATGTGGCTTGTTTTGATGCAGATTTCTGTGAGTTAAAATGACAAGTTATGTTGTACACACACACATCCCACAATACACACCCATGAGAGGAACAGAAACACAATAACAATGACAGAAACTGCCATTTACATGTCAGAGGAAGAGATATCAAAATACCTAAAAAAAGAAATCAAGAAAACAATCCTATGTACTATAACGAAAAACAAAAGAATGTATACAGATTCCTCTAGACCTACAAAAGCTTACATATTGATAAATCCATCGTATTAGTCAAGAACATTATAAGTTGAGCCCTTCTAAATCAGGATTGTCTGTATTTAGGAATAAACTTAACAAAGGAGGTGAATGATGTGTATACTAAGCACTATAATACATTGATACAAAAATTAAAGGAGACATAAACAAATGTAAAGGTATCACATACTTCTGGATTGAAAGAATTAATGTTGTTAAAATGTCCGCACTACAGATTTTACAGATTCAAGTCAATTCCTATCAAAATTCCATTAGCATTTTTCAGAGAAACAGAAAACAATCCTAAAACTTATGTGCAATCAGAAAAGATCACAAATAGTCAAAGAAATTTAAGCAACAAGAACAAAGCTGAAGGCAAACATCACCTCATTTCAAATAATGTCACAAAGCTATAGTAATCAAAACAGTGTGGTACTGGCATAAAAAAAGACGCAACAGAACACAGTAAAGATCACAGAAACAAACCCATATATATTCATTCAACTAATATTCAACAAAAGGGCCAAGAATACAAAATGGTGAAAGAACAGTGTCTTCATTAAATGTCATTGGGATAGCTGGATGTTCAGATGCCAAGTAATGAAATTGTGCCCTTATATCATACACAAAAATCAATGCATAGTGGATTGGACTTCAATGTAAAACCTGAAACTGTAAAAATTGAAAGAAAACAGATAAAAAGTTATTTGAAAAAAATTTTTTTTTGGATATAAACCAAAAGCACAGGCAACTGAAGCAAAAATATGTGTGACTACATCAAACCAAAAAGTTTCCACACAGTAATGGAGGCAACAATCAGTAAAATGGAAAGAAAACCTATGGAATGGGAGAAAACATTTGCAAATTATATATCTAATAAAAGCCTAATTTCTAAAATATATAATAAAGTTGTATGTGTATTTATGTACACACACAAAACTCAATAGCAAAATTTAATAATAATGACCTGATCTAAAAATGAGGAAAAGACCTGAAGAGACATTTTCCCAAAGAAGACATACAAAGGTCTGGCAGGAATATAAAAAGGTACTGAACATCGGAAATCATCAAAAAAAAGCAAATCAAAATCACAAAGAAATACTAACTCACAACAATTAAGATGGCTTTTAGAAAAAAGATAAAAGATAACAAGTGTTGTTGAGGATGTGGAGAAAAATGAACTTTTATACACTGTTGGTGTAAATGTAAATTGGTATAGCCATTATGCCATTATGAAAAATAGTATGAAGGTTCCTTAAAAAAATTAAAAAATATAACCACCATATTATCCAGCAATCCCACTTTTGGATGTGTATACAATGAAAATGAAAGTAGCATGTTGAAGACATATCTGGGGTCACATTTTCATTGCCATATTATTCACAATGGTCAAGATATGGAAACCGGAATATTATTTTGAAATTATTACACAGAAATATTATTTAGCCTTTAAAAAATCCTGTCAGTTGTGACAACATGGATGAACCTGGAAGACATTAGGCTAAGTGAAATAACCTGGACACAGAAAGACAGTGCGGCGTGATCTTACTGATACGTAGAATTTAAAACAGCCAAATTAAATGTTTGCACAGTGGTTGTCAGGGGTTAGGTATATGAGGGAAATATGAGGATTTGGGTCAAAGAGTGCAAACTTTCATTTATAAAATGAATAAGTTCTGACAATCTAATGTGTAGCATATTGACTACAGTTGACAATAATGTATTTCATAATTGAAATTTTCTAAGATTAGATTTTAAGAGTTCTCAACAAAAAGAAAAATGTTAATAGTGAAATGATGTATAGGTTAATTAACTTGATGGGGTATCATTTTGCAGTGTATATGTATATCAAAATATCACTTTATATACTTTCAATATATACTATGTCTATTTGTCATATCTTTTAATATAATGCTTCTGTATCAATTGGAATTATTCCTCTAGGATTCTAATTACATAACTAGATTTTTTCAGTTTCTCCCATATATCTCTCATATAACTGTTTATGTTTTCCAACTTTTTGTCTTTTTGTGCTTTAACCAGAATATTTCTTTAGGATCTCTTTTCTGGTATACTAGATAGGATTTTTAGCTGTGTATAATTTGATACCAACTCAAACTTTAAAAATTCTTATGGAACTAATAGTTTTAGGTTCCAAAATGTTAGTTTGATTCTTTCTTTAGTGAGATTTCAGCTACTCATGAGATTTTTCAAAAGTGTCACTTACTTTTTTGAAGTATTTAGTGCAGTTATTTTAAAATATTGCTTCTAAAACTGTGTTTTCAGTATTTTCCCCTACAGTTACACATTTACTATTTACATGGATGCTGTATTTACATAATATGCTACAGTAAATTCCTAATTTATTGCTGGAAAAATTTTATCAGCTTTTTGCCACTGCCTAACCTGGAAGTTCATTTTAGTAAACTACAGAAACAGTTTTCTGACCACAGTCCACTTTGATCATACTCCAATACTATATGTGATGTGTTATTAGCAATCACAGCTCTTCACCACTGGGGTCAACTTCTATTTCACTCAGGATAAACTAGGTTGTACTGTAGCAATAAGCTGTAAGGTATAAATCACTAAAAAGAGCAAAAGTTATTTTTCGCTCATGCTACATGCATATTATCAGATAAACGGGATTCTAATCTTTTTATATTTTCATTCCTAGACCCAGACTAGCCAATCAGCTACCATTTAGAATCTTGTTGATTGTTATAGTTCCAAGAAAAAGACTCTGACAAATTACATACTGGCTCTTAAAAATTCTTCCTGGAAATTACAAATATATTTCCGCAGATATTTTATTAATGAAAACATATTACCTTGCCTAGAAAGTGGTTAAGTTAAAGAATATTATGTGCCCAGAGACAGAAAAAGTAGAATGTCTTCAGCACCCTAATTACTACTTAAAATGTTGTGCTATGTAGATTCCAAAAGCTAAATCCTGATTCTCTCTCTCTCTCTCTCCCCTCTCTCTCTCTCTCTCTCTCTTTCTCTCACGCACACACACACACACAATTTCAGGTTAGATATTGTAAAAATAGCCAGAAAGACAATGAAATCTTCTAAAATAAAACTAAGTCCAATTTTGTAGTCAAAAAGGAGTCACTACATAGGTGCAACAAATTCTCTTTATTTCTTTCTTTCTTCTTTTATCTGGTAAACACTATGAAGAATATTTTCTGTTTAGCAATGATAGAGCACCTTTAATTAGAGCAATGATCTTGGTGCACACATGTAGAAAAGCTAGATGAAATAATAGATGTATATCTTTCAGAGAAATCCAGTGGCAATTAAGGCCTGAGCAAGAAAACACACTGTAGTGAAGAAATCCATATAATGAGGTGCTAATGTTCTGAAGGTGATTTTTCCCTAAGTGTGTTTGTTGATTATAATATGGAAAGATTCTGAGAATCTATGCAGAAGTCCTAAGCAGTTTGTTATAAGCAACAAATGAATCAGCAGAAGTTTTGGCTCTTCCACATCCTGGAGAAATAAAATTTTGAGTTAAGAAATGACAAGGCAGTCAGCACTTGGGGTGGGGGAGAAGCACACGATCTTAGGGATAATAGAAGTCTAGGAAAGTAAGTCAAATACTCTATGAGTTTTCCCCATGAGACATTTGGTTAACTCTTATACAAAGTAATTATTAAGGATAAGAATCAAAACTGTAAGACACTGAAAGAAGAAAACAAGTTCTCCGCAATCTTAATGATACTGAGGAGTGACATTTGAGTTCAGACTCCGCCAGGATATAAACCTTACCAAATGCCATATTAGCTCTAAATTCAGGAGGGTTACTTAGGAGAAATAGAGACAGCCAGATACATCTTTAAAACATGCTACCAAGCCTCAAATCAGTTTTCTGATTGAATGGAGTTGATACAGTAACACTTTATATTTCCAAAGAAGCAACATTTCTGTTGAGGAAAATAATGTCATAGATAAACTTAACAGTTATTTACTCATAATGTCTGATTTCAAGTGATAAATTGCAAGTTACCAAGAAACAGGATCAAGGGTAAAAACAGACAATAGGAAGAGACAGATTATCCATGATTTATGTTGCAAAAGATGGAGAGTAGCTGTAATTAATGTATTTAAGGAAATAAAAAGAAGCAT